CCTGACCCTAAAACTACCCACTCAGTACCTACCTGACCCTAAAACTACCCACTCAGTACCTACCATGTAAACATGTTGATCCACACAGACGTGTTTTTCTTTCGGATCAGGTCTCAGCCCGATGGTTCAGACCCACCCAACTGGTCCAAGCCTCCTGTCCTCCCACCTCCTTCTGCCTCGGTCAGCAGGAGCAACTCCTCGGCTCGGGCGTCCACCTGCAGGTCCTGGTCTGAAAGGCCTCCATCACCTGTGGTTTGATGTGTTTTACCTGATAATCATGACTGGTTTGTTTTCACAGGTTTGAAGGACAGAAGGAGGTCAGATGTTTCTGTTATTTATGATTGGGTTATTTTTCCTCTGATTCTCTGCTCTTTTAAAATGATTACATGAATGTTAGTTACAGTTCTGACTGTTTTTCTTCTCTTGCCAGCAGCAAGCAGCAGAGAAATGTGAGTTTATCTAATTTTTCTTCTTTCTTTAAAAGATGAAGAAGAAACCTTTCAAACATAAATATGAAGAAATAAATCAAAGAAAACTGATGTCTGAGTGAATAAATGTCTAAACTCTGTTTTGTCTCTCAGATCCTAAACACAACACTTTCCCTTTCAACAAAGGTTTACCTCCTCGTCCAGGAATCCCAGGAGCCCCTGCAGGTCCCATCGACAGGTGGGTCCACATCAGGACTCTGTAGAATCTGACAGTCTAAAACAAGGGTGCCCAAACTATTTCCCTGAGAGGGCCAAAATGAAATGTATCTGAGGGCTGTGGGCCAAATGTAGTAATATAAACACATCAAATACAAATACTTCTTAAGTAAAGTCCTGTTAGTTTTAATGATTAAGCTAGCAGCCAGTACTGTGGCTCATGTTTTTACTAACAGYACTACAGTCATTGAACCAATACGTTTAGGTGGAAATACTGTTTCTACATAGGACAAACTAGAAACCATGGCTAGTGCTAGTGGGCCAAATCAAATGGCTTAGTGGGCCAGTTTTAGCCCACGGGCCCCTCTTTGGGCACCTCTGRTCTTAAGACAGAACCACTAAACCCTACAGATACACTGAGTCACTGCATCCATCTGTTCATCCATCCATCCATCCATCAAACCATCCATCATCCATCCATCCATCGAACCATCCAACCATCCACCATCCATCATCCATCCATCCATCCATCTAAACCACCCATCATCCATCCATCCATCGAACCATCCAACCATCCATCATCCATCCATCCATCCATCCATCAAACCACCCATCATCCATCCATCCATCGAACCATCCAACCATCCATCATCCATCCATCCATCCATCCATCAAACCACCCATCCATCCATCCATCCATCCAACCATCCAACCATCCATCATCCATCCATCCATCCATCCATCCATCCATCCATCCATCCATCCATCCATCC